CAGTGATACGAACCAATGGATCAAACAAAAGTTACAGAGCATGAAATACTACATGTCACGGCGGGAGAAATTTGACCGTGATATGTCCTTGAAACATCCTGCAAAAATCATTTCACAATATATAAATAGTACCCCATACTTTCTATTTGATATTTTTGAAGCCGACACTCAGACGCTTCCAAACAATAGACATGAAATTTTTCGTGTCAACCGTTATCAAAATATCAGCATCCAAAGTTGCCAGTTCGTCAGTAGTGATGGTGGCCGACGGATTTGGTCTCCATACATTTTTTTCTATACTAAACAGATTTTTATCTTGGAAACTATTGAATTTTGAGCCCATGTTCACTGGGGTTTTTTACTCAGTTTAGTAAGTTGTACAAGCCCTATCGTTTGTGCACAACAATTTTATTATACCCTGTATATGCGTTGCGTGGTCGCGAACGTGTTAATAGAATCAGTAACTAGGTAACAGTGTAACGTAAGAATTGTGATACCAGATAATTAATAACTGTCTTTATTTATCTTCGCTACGAAAGCATAAATAATGCATAAAACACTCAAGATTCTCGTGGCACTCAATGTGTTAAAAGAGTAAATATAATTAAAATTTTATCATGTTTGGTCTTACTTCAACGAAAAAATCTCAGAAATATTTTAATCAAACTTTAATGAGAAAATGATAATAAATGAAAATGTCAAGATTAAAGTAGAATTAGTTTTATCAAAACTGTGCTTCGAAGGATATACTTCTCAGTTATGGAGCTTCATGTTCAGGGAACACTTTCCTAATGGTGAGGATAAGTACCAATTACTTGTGGAAAGATTTCCCACCAGGCAGTTGTCTAATGTTTACTGCATATAAGTACATTGTTATCTCCAAATGTACATGTGAATATGAACTGAAGAAGTTGCTCTAAATTCAAGAACCCCCTTGTCAGATGGTACTAATATATTTATTCAGTTTACTGAACATAGACTACCATGCAAGGCCATTATTCGCTATTTACTTCTTTTTTTAAGTATTACATATTTAAAAAAAGAATAAAATCTTAACCAAACAATATTTAAATAATTCTATTACTTTTGTGAATTACATGGATAAGTTTGCATCTTGAAAAGAATTAACATTTGAGTCGCGTGTGTCTGTGTATATGTGCGTGTGTGTGTGTATGTATCTTTTTTATAGGACTATTGATTATACTAAAATCTGTATTTGTTTTATTTGCAAGTTATAACTAAAACATGGGAAATTGTTACATATAAGACAAGACGCATAGTGTTCACATTTAACATAACACCAGTGTATATTGTGTCACAACTGGGATACATAATATTACAATGGTGCATAATAAAATTCTATACATATTTTGTTCTATCTAAAGTAAATCATATTTTGAATTCTTTCCTTCACCGCCATATTTCACTTTGAATCGAAGCGCTTGTTTTAGATTTTTGCAACACCAGAAATGTGTAATTACTATGTAATTTACATAAAATGAAGAATTCAAGTATTCATGTAAAAGTAAAGGTGGTATTGACTATGCCATTCAAAATATATATTTGCTCTACAGCACAAGATCGCTTCCATTCAAAGAGAAAAATAGGATCTGATATTTGCTTGCTGCTTTCTCAAACAAGCACGAAACTAAATCTCTTAAAAGCATGAACCAACTCTTAATTTTATTTTTATAACGTCTATTATTAATAATTCATATAAACATTATTTCTATTTATTCCTTCTTAAATTTTATAGCAAATTGCAAGGAGTGATGCCACGATTAAATTGCGGAGGAATTCTTTACACATACCATTGGAAATATTACTTGCTCCAAGTGTGTCCGGTGCGGCATCATTTTCATCTTTGTATTCGATTTCAGTATATACACATAATGTATATAAGCCTGAGCAGTATATATATTATACATATATATTTGTTCTTCCTTTATAGATGATATCTTTGCACAAACTTAATGCGTTTTTCTCTTATGAATATAGTGAAAATCTTACATTCCGTATGTAACATACATTTATATGTCACTCATGCAGTGACCCTGCAGTATAATCAGTTTTTTCCCTCATTACTTTAAATAGTACATGATACCTAACTGTTTAAATATACTTAGTAATGTAATTATAATATATTAATCTAGACTCCTATGGAGCGACGAACATTATCGTACATAGAACTCCATACGACGCATGCACTCACATGCACTCGCATGCACCCGCAATTTCTTATCATTTTCCTCCTGTTTATACGATAATCATTGTTATTATTATACACAATTAATGTAAGCCTGGTAATGCGGGAACTGGTTAGATGTAAATTGCAAACTTTTTATAGGAATTGACCGTATTCTTCAATGTCGAGTGCTTTTTTAAATACGTGATATAATTAGGTAACTTTGCACGACACAACTATGTGCCGCAGAACCAAGCTTACCAATTTCATTGCATCTTAAGTGTAAATACGAAATACATAGCCTTACAAGATCGCTAGAGTTGTAACATTTTGCTCTTCATATAGACAATACACAAATATTGTAAATTATTTAAAATTAATTTTTAAAAAACTTAATTTAAACATCTTCCCGATTCAAGCACAGATAAACACACAGAACTCCCATCGCTCGAGAACTTTTTTTTATATTTAAGATCCGGGGTAATATAGTGGTATTTGTCGCAGATGTTTCTTAAGCAAAATCGGCATAGTTCATATTGCACTCAATTACAATGATTAAGATTAAATGGAAAACAATGACTATAGCTAAAATAGAAACTGACGCGGAACTGCGAATGATACATGAATTCATATAAAACATAAATCTTTTTAAACATAATTTCACGTTAAATTAAACTACGCGCCAATTGATTAGGATAAAATATATATCTAAGTAATCTGAAAATTATGTATTATTACATATACAAAATCTTCTTCGATTATGTTTACATAGATCTTTTTAGCAAGAATAATAAAGCATATTGTTTTTTGTACGACGTTTGATTCGTGTACTGATATTAAATTTCTTATTTGTATCGAAACTCAGCATAACGGAGAAAAAAACTTATACAACATCTTTCAAAAGAATGTTTTGAAAATATGTTTGCTATATATTCTTAGCTTTAGTAAATGTTATCCAATTATACAATACCACTCCGAATCTAACGAGATCGTCTAATTTTATGCAAATGATAGTACAAAATGTAATTTTAACATAAAAATTAATAATAATAATTACTGTTGAAACCAAGTGATAAATGTGTGCTCTGCAGTTGCTTCGAATTGATAAGTATTTCTCACCATTGATAGTCCAAGAAAGATTTCGTAATTCTCGAGGTACTTGTCTGAATATAAACAACGTAAAAGAATTTACGTTATAAATTGATGTTATTCTATACAACGAACATTGGGTAACTGCCACCACACTCAACGGGACGGGAAGGTTGCAGTTATGAAGAGGTAGAATCGAATCTACCTCAAACAACAAAGTTTTTAGAATGGCGAACATAGAAAGAGACAACATTAAATGCTCCCAATGAGCTCGAGACCTTTAACTCAAAAGTAAAACTTCTTTATTTTTTACTTTTGATATCATGTTTGTTGTGTATTGTTTGATTAAAATGATACCAAACACTATAACATTATCACAATTGCTTGTATGATAAGCGATTGAAGTTTTGTATACTGAAGAGGACTGCGAATAGAAAAGAAAAAGAGGTTGAAATTGTTAAGTTCGACAATAGTCAAATCATGTTACACCCTTCAAATGCGGTCGGTTGTCGAGCGCTATGGTGTATTAAAAGGAACCTAGTGGAGATATGGTGGGGATGAGAGTGTTACCCATGAATTACCCATGTTCACTGTAACTTGGATTAAAAATACATTTTGTACTATAAGCAAACATCTTTACAAATCCTTCAAACTGTGAAAATACCATTTTTGATATATCACATATGCATTGTAATATGCCAAATTTAATTTTCTTCTTGTAAATTAGTTATTATTTATAAGAAACTATGTTATAAAAGTAAAATAGTGGCATATTGGTACGACAATTAGTGCCTAATCGCAATCATATTAACTGCAAATTTGTGTGCTCATTGTAGAAACGCGTATTCCTGAGTTTACGTAATAAGATGAAATGTAATAATTATGAATATTCTTCTTTTTGTAAATGAACTAGTAAAAGTATCATACAAAAAAAAAATATAAAGAAACTGAAACTTTGGATAATACGTTGCTGTAGCAACGGTTATTCTTCAATTTGTATTCGCGTATAAACTTCTTTGCACGAAGATGCTGTCGAATATTGCAGCAAACATTTGAACCGAAGATAATGTTTGTAGTTACAACATTCACAAAAATACTACTGCGACGCATAACAACACTTTGATCAACTTTCATAGTCACAAAAATCGTTAGTTTTTAAAAACTCAATGACTCACTTTTATAATCAACAATACAAACGTTCATCATGTATACTCTCATCACTTTTGTTTAATCAAATGCTTCCACATCGTTTTCCTTGATTTGGTTTAGTAAGAGGTTAGTACACCGGGTGGAGTTGGTACAACGACTGTATGTTGCGGCACTACCGGAGGCGCTGGCGGTGCCAATGGATGCCCAACCAAAACTGCTGCCGCCGGAATTGGCAAAACACCAGATTGAGGAATGGCTGATGGCGTGCTGACTTGCGTCGGTGGTCCTTCTGCTGCGTGCTTTCTCAAGTGTCTCAACATATTGCCCTTTTCCACAAAAGTTTTTCCACAATCTGGGCAACTGTGTGGTCGTTCGTCCGAATGGGATCGTCTGTGCGACACCAAATGTCCTTTGCACATGAAGTCCTTAGGACAAAGATCGCAACGGAACGGTCTTTCAGCGTTACTACCTTTGTTATGCGAACGCATATGGAATAGCAGGTTACCCTTCAATGGGAAACTCTTGCCACATTCGGTACATACAAATGGACGTTCACCAGTATGACATCGCATATGATTTACAAGGTGTTCCTGTAAACAAAAAACAACAAATCTGTTAAATAAACAACGTCTTTGTTTAATTTTGCAACCTCCTTTCGTTATAATCAATTTTCAATAAAGTGAAACTTTAAACATCAAAGATATTATGAATTTTTATATGTGTAGCTGTACTATAGTATCCAGACAGGAAAATTTTTGTTTCAAATTTGTGATTTCGGGCGGATTTTGAGTCGCTGAAACTGAAATTCATAGTCTTCTTCTACGGAAATAAACAATTAAATAACTACAGCACAATAAATAATTCAAAACTTTGATAATAGTCCAGAATCCTAATGGTAAAACCGATTTTCATAAAACCTACAAACGTTATAAAAATGCACACTTCAAGTAACTATTTTTTTTGACAAAAATGTTGCCCCTTTTTAATTCTCAAGATAATCGCGGAAATTTTTCACTACCACTACACTGAACTCCATATGCGTGAGCGTGTGTGTGAAACAGTCGCAGGCAGAATCGCATATTCGTCGTTTTAATAGTGGCTTATATTGATCAACCTCCGATCTCCTCGTATTTCGTGTCTCACAGAAAACGATATATATATAATTTCCTCTACAAGAATTACAACAGTCCTAGTCAATCATGACGGTAGTTTCTCAAGTACGTTGTTTCGTACAATGTGAAAGAATAAGTTTCATTGAGATAACAAAGATCGGTATTAGTGGGCGAAGCCCCTACCTCGCCCACGCTTTGATTTTATAATCGTCAAATTAGACCTTAACAAATTAAAATACTGTCAAAATAAAATATTTAAATTACGATTTTTCAAAAATTTATGTTCTACTTATAAAACCGGACATTTTCGTGGAAAAGTATTACGTTTATTGAGTTAAATGATCTAAAGTACTCTCGAAATGAGAAATTTGAACAAAAAATTTTGCTACACGGATACTGTTAGTATATTCATATATTTTCTGTTATTTCTTTGATAAAAATATTTCTGTATGGAGAGTTATACTTTTTTTTCTTAAAATACGTACAAATATGTAAAATTTCAAGTAACTGATGTAAATAGTATTTGTACAGAAAGATTGTAAGAGGATGTTTTACTAACAAGAAAAGATCTTTGACGTCTATAAAACTGCAAAACAAAATTTTCAAAATTCAAGATTCAAATTCCAAATTTTGAAAAATTCTATTTTGCAATTTTATAGATCTTAAAGAACAATGTATTTTTCCATTAAACTTCTTTTTCGCTATCTCTTATCGTTCACAAGATAATCTACGGGGAAGGTAAATTTGTATTTTTTTCAGGGTGTGGTTTCATCCCTTCAATGCGAAATTCGACACGGAAAAAATTGTTATGTAGTAGACTTGATTTACTCTATTTACACACAAAGTTTTATAATTTTTTGAATTTCCGGGTTCGATACCTTTCCATGTTAGTATATTAATCTAGAAGATCCACTCACAGCCGTATTTTAAGTTGGCAGGAAATAAATAAATGCTGAATTACGATTCATAACTAAATTGTTCGAACTCCTAAGTACGTGTATATATTGTAAGTTTACTTGTTACATTTTATTCCAATTCGATCGAATCAAATCTTCGAATGGAACTTCGCACTTGCACGACAATGAAAATATTACAATAATGCTAAATATCCTACTAGCAAGGATGATACTAATTTGAACATATTCAAGTATGTTATTTATGACCCACCAACGCAGTATGACATAAAATATATAATTTGAAAAAACTTACCTTTCTTGTAAATGGCTTTGAACACACGTTACAACAATGCGAAGAATCTCCGGTATGTTGACGGAGATGATTATTAAGGTGTTCTTTCCTAGTGAATGTTCTTTGACAAAATTCACACCTGTGCGGTGATTCGCCGGTGTGGATACGGACATGATTCGTTAAATGCTCCTTACGAGTAAATGACTTGGAGCAGAAGTGGCATCGGTGTGGCGATTCGCCTGTATGTTGACGCACGTGATTTGTCAAATGTTCCTTCCTCGTGAAGGATTTGGTGCAATACTGGCACTTGTGCGGTGACTCACCCGTGTGCTGCCTGACGTGGTTCACCAGATGATCCTTTCGCGTAAATGCTTTCGGACAGTATTGACAGCGGAACGGCGTCTCTCCTGTACATGTTAAATGTATATTATAACTTTCATGCGTCGTACTTATTAAGCACTTAGAATTTTCATTATTTCTAGTTGATTCGATGCAACCTTTGGATCGAATAAATGAAGACTGTCGAAAACACTGTAAGTGGCAAAAATCTAATTTTTAAGGAGGCAGTAATAAGTTATTTAATTCCGAGTTATTTACAGGATTTGATTTTTTTCATTGCTAAATGCGATTAAAAATGCAATAATCAAGGAGCATCGTGAAATCTCCTATTTTTTCTGTTAATGAGTGCCAAATCCATAAAGAACAGAATTGTGTTTCTTGAAAACTCTGTATGTGTAACTTTATTGTTGTAGAGAAGACTACTGCCTATAGACGACATCTTTTCATGTCTCCATCGCTCTGAAGGGGAAAGTGCAGCGAGGGGATACTGAGCACAATTTGACAAAGTTGGAGAACGAGTATAATGAGAAGAAGCGAGACAGACACAGTTCGCCGGGCATCGAAAGTTAAGACTTCAAAGACATCAAATATAAACATGCAATAAAGGAAATATCAATTTCATTAACCCATCGCGCTCCGACGTCGAGCGTGACTCACAGGTGTGATTTTTTGTCTAGATATTTTTCAAATAGATTATATTATTATATTATTTTCAATATTATTAGTAAGAAGAATCGTTTACAATGCTCGAGGAAAAAGAAATTCGAAGTGCAAAGGGTTAATTTCGATATTACTTTCTGAAACGTAGTGCCTGTGGATTGATGGGATTGTTGTGATTAAAACAAGTCCAAGTACGATGTAAACCGGACTAATTTTATCGATTTTAAGGAAATGTTAATTACATTCAATTAGTAAAACTAGTTTGATTTACATCGTGTTTGTGCTTATTTTAATTACAACAATTTCGACAATTCACAGGCACTACGTTTGAGAAAGATAAAGGTTAATTTAAGATTGAAATTAATGAAATTGACATTTCCTTTATTACATGTTTATATTTGACGCATGAGGCATCGCATTGAAGTTCCGCCTCTTGATCCTCGATGCTCGGAGAACTGTTTCTGTCTCGCTTCTTTTCATTAGATTCATTCTCCGATTGTTTCAAACTATGCTCCGTATCCTCTTGCCGCACTTGCCTCTTCCGATCAAAGGAAACGTGAAAAGACATCGTCTGCCGAGTCACGTGCCATGTCTTTAAATTTGCAAACGTTATAAATACTAATTTTATTTGTTATAACATGCACAGAAAACCAAAAATATCTTCTTTCTATTTTTAAATAGAATACATTACAAAAATGTAAGTACTTTATATAATTTTTCATAACTGAATACATAAATCTAAAAAACAATTATCTGACACTTATAGTCTTTTCGATACGACTTTGGACATATAACTGTTATCATCTTTTAGTGCTATTAATAACTTACAAAAGGAAATCGTATTTCAATATTATATTATAGTATCATTTCCATTAGCACGTAGAACGTTTTAAAAGGAAAAAAAGACGTTTTTTAAAATTTTGGCACTTAGAGTGTTTTCGACAAACAATTTTCAAATAACTAATATAAAAATTAGTAAAATTTATTTATCGTATCTCGACTATAACAGCCATTTTTATTGCAACTTCCAATGACTCTAATATTATCAGTCCTTTTAGAAGTTCCAGCATTTCTTTATTCGATATTATCATCCTTGTGAGTTGCATCGTATGAAAATTAAATTTCTTTCATCAGTAATAATTTTCTTATTGAAAGTTTTACTTCGTAACATTGTTACTTTAGAATAAATGTACTATACTGTCTTAACACGTTAAGCGCCATGTCAGTCACTGGTGACTGACGCTTCTGAATGACTAAAAAACAATCATAACATACAAGACAACCGATGTGAAATAAAAATGTTTAATAAGGCAATTAAGTTGATAACAGTGTAACGTAAACGTTGCAACGCCAGACAATTCATAATTATACCTACTCTTCTTTGCTACAAAAGACAAACTCTATGGGAGAACGCTCAAGATTTTCGTGACGCTTAACGTGTTAAACATTCCGAATAATTCCATCCGTCTCGTTCGAGAATTCCGGAATTTAGAACCGTTTTTGATCAAATACTGATTTTATTTGTTTATTTACACAGATCCTGCGTTTTTAGAACGTAACCACACAAACTTTTATGTCTGTAAACTACCAATACGGAAAAAGTTTCCAAATTCTTCGTTAAACTTTAGTAAAACTTTCATTATACTGTTCGAAGAAAGTTACAAAGATAATAATACGTGTTTCATTAACTTATTAGTATTCTTTACTATGAGCATAACTGAAAAGTATAAATATTTTCACTGCAAAACTTATTAATGCATTAACCCTTCAGCGATGAATTCCATGCACCATACGGACTACTGTTCTTTTGAGCTATATTATACAGCTTGTTATATTTACTTTAATTTAACATCGATGTGAAATAAGTAGACAAGCGCACAAGAGATTTTTCAAAGCACATAGACCTCTGATCGTCTAGAAAGAGTAAGGTAACACGACCTTCGTCGCTGAAGGATCAATAAAAGTGTCAAGAAAATAATGAAAAATGAAGAAATGCTTATATTGTGTATACAGCTGACCTAGGAATAGATGAAATATAAGGATGTACATATTGAAATATAAATAAAACTGAATTTAAAAGTATACCGTATTTTCTCGTCGTAAGTTCGCGCTTTGAAATGAAAGTCAACTATCACACCAGAATTGTCCGTCACTAATCTGAATCCTTTGATACTGTACGAGTGCTGTCCAAACTTCGCTCGCGAATAAATAGTATAACCGTTGCGTTTTGATTACACGGAGCTACTGGAATTGCTACGAATTATGTTTTTACAATGGACGACTTGGTCTTTCGCCACTATTCGGGACTACTTGGTACAATAGATCACTGGAATCATTTGATGCGTTGCGTTAAGGGTATGTATCGTTTCAAGCTGGTGTTTAGCAAAAAAATCGATTAATTACACTGTGGAACAAATTTTGACCTATGTTAGTTTTTGCAATAACCACTGTGTGATTCTTATAGAATTCCTTGCCCTAAATACGAATCCGAAAACCAAATTGCTGGGTCAGGTCCAGTTTTCGAAAAAACTAGGGTTTTGTAAAAACGGTCGAATTTTTCAGAAAACCAAGTGTTACGTGAAAACTAAAAACGATAGGCAGTTAAAATTTGTCGCAAAAAATAAAGGAGACTTGCCCGATCACGTAGCTATACAAATTTTGAATTTTGCGTATCATTAAATCTTTGTAAACGATGATTA